CCCCAAAACCCCAAAACCCCAAAACCCCAAAACCCCGTCTATGAAAATTGCTTAAAAATCGAATTTATTAGTCGAAGTATATCAGAGACTTAGTTTAAATAATTAATTAAATGAGAAGAAAATAATTTCAAATTTAAACTTATTCTACACATATTTACGAAGAAAAAAAGACCATAAAAGAAGAATGGAAATGAAGATGTCTGAAAAATAGTAATAAAAATCACAATAAATGAACTAATCAGATGATAAATTGACCGTTGGATTAAATTATATTCATTAAAACTTAAACCTTTCAATGAAATCACTTAATACTACCTCGCTTACAAATAGCTTCAATAACAATGAAAAAATCAATCACAAGTTCTAAATACCTCTCATTTTGAAAAAGACAGATGGTAAAAATAAGTTGACCCCAACTAATAAAAAGAGCTAGAAGAGTCACAGAATTCAGAACGAGTCACTCCTGAAAATTGATTCTACTTTGAAATCAACTAGATCACATGAAAACGATAAAAAATTAGGTTCAATCACTGATTTTAAAAGTTTTCTTATACCTTCTGCCTCTACATCTGCTTCTTCACAACAGTTAAGTAGATAACAAAAGCCAGTAAATTTATTCTCAGAAGAGGAGTCTGCATCCGACTGGTCAGACGACGATAAACTCCTGCGAAAAAGAAAATTAGAATCTAAAAAATGCAATTTTAAGAATTCAAATAGACTAAATAGTGGCTTTGGTGATAGTTGCGATTTAAGAAACTTTAATTCAAATAAAGCTGTTAAAAAGACTGTTGGAAGATGGAGCAACCTCGAAAAATCTAGATTAATAGAGGCGATTCAGATGTACGGATACGATTGGCAACTAATCGAGGAATATGTAGAAACAAGAACACTAAAGCAAATCATTAATTATACTAATAAACTCTACAGCACTAATTTCGAGTATCCCTCCGATTCTTGCATAAATATTCCTCATCATCATAACAAAGAGATAACATAAAGCCAAAACAGTATTGAATAATAAAGCCTTTCTCAAACAAGTTCTGCATAATCAGAGAAGAACTCTCAGTTTATATTGATACAGGCTCTGGATAAACTTTCTTTAGATGAGAAAGTAGAAATTTCAGAATATGAGAACTAATAAACCAAACCATAAACTAATTATGTCAATATTTTACCTCCATAAATATAGCTAAAGCAGCAAGAGTAAAAGTAAAAAGAGGATGATTTAGAATCCAAACTAGATCAGCAAATAAAAGAATTCATCAATTTAGTAAACAAGTACGAGAGTCTCTACAGACTGTAAAAATTGGTAGACCAAGGTGATTCAATCTCACTTACTTAACTTGCCTAATAAATTTTCTTGTTGAGACAAACTGTTCAATAATTAATTGAAAAAAATACAATTAATAAGAGGCAATTAAAAGCAGATCAAAAATCTAATAAACTATCCCAACCTGCTTCCAATCTGTCTTTAGAACTGTAATCATAGCAAAAGAGCTCCCTATTCACAAATTCCACAGAATATAAGAGTCTCTTTAAGAGTAAATATTCTTAGTACGATATCCAAGAGAGATTACAAAAAGTGATCTTTTAGGATCTTTTTACTAGGTTGAATATCTACTCAGTAGACCAAATAAAGCAGAAATATAACAAACTCTCTGATTGGATCGACATGCAATCTGATAATTAGTGCTAGAGTGGTTCTAGAATTTAGACTCTCACTAATCAAGATGCAATGAAATCAAGAAAACAAAGTGAGTAACTATCATCTTCACTCTAAGCCAGATTTAATCTCTCAAAATTTTAAGGAGTAAACGAAGCATTTAAGCCAAATTTTTAAAATTTCACATCACAACCAATAACCCCTAAGAACCTCTAAGACAATCTAACTCAATCTAAGTTGAGTGAGATGAATGGAAAAAGCATTGAAGCTACTTCAACTAGTCTTTCGAGATGCAGTCCAACTGACGAAATTGAAGCCATTTGCTATAACACTGATGAAAACATGATCTTAGACTCAAATGAATACTCTACAGAGGAGCCTAATGGAGCCAATATCTAGCAACCACCTTGCAAAAGGCCCAAGCTCAGTCTGTTCTATGACATTTCAATTTAGTCTAACTCTTTTGAAAGTCATTAAGCAGTCGTTGCTAATCCTTGAAATCATCAGCCAAAATACAACTTTTTTATGTCTCGCTAGAATATCTGAGCTGATACAATGTTCTATAAACAAAGACAGTTTATTATATTCTCAAAGATTAAGTTTAAAATTTATACTCTCAACTTTTACATTAAACAATCAATAGCGGGGTTTTGGGGTTTTGGGGTTTTGGGGTTTTGGGG